TTTGTTTTTGTTTTTCAATGAAAATTAGTAAATATTTTGATGATAAGGCATGTAAATAGTGTCTTTGTCCAAGGAAAAACAAATTGAAGACCATAATCAGAGAATCTGAGCAGTGACAGAAGTAACCAAAGATATTCTCTAAATAGAAATGACATTTTGTAATAAACTGGATAGAAACTCTATCAAAGAAGAATAACATTCTGAGGAAAGAATTAGAACCACAGAAGGGTCAGGACCATCATGGCCTGCTTGGCTGAATAGTAGAGGGAAAGACATGAGTGAGACCATTACAGTACAAAAATAGGAATAAGATAAAAGCATAAGGCATGTTATTGAAAAGAGTAAAATTCATTGCAGAATACTCACTTCTCATTTGTCCATAAGTGTCTCCACACTGTCATTCTCAGACAACAGAAAAGGCAAAAAATTAAAAGTTAGGGGTGTGTGCATGGCCTAAAAAATTTTGTGCTCCGAAAAATGAAAAATTTGTTCATCATCTTATTTAAATGTTCAATACTTTGTCTGGGTAGGCCACAGATAGGTAAAAATGCTGTGGAGGGTATCCAGAAAATATCCCTAGGAATACCAAGTGGATTTTTTCAATTATGTGTGCATGATTTGGAACTCGACTATCTTAAAAATGTTAATGGTATGGTACATATCAGTGGACAAAACTGCACTGGACTAGATTTTGTGGTTAGGAGATACACCTATCATTCATATAAAAACAAAAACAGAAAAAAAGAAGATATTTTTGTAGCCTTCAATAAGAATCTGTTAGAGGCAATCTTGAAGAAGGTAATTGGCTGCATCTTGCTGATGGACAAACACACACAAAAGTTCTTGAATGATCAATCACTCGAACCATGTAGAAGGACTGACTTCGATAGAGCTAGCAGTAGGTGTTTTTTCTTCAACTTCAGTAAGGCTTAGACATCATGTCATATAACATTCTCATAGACAGGCTGATAAAGTGCAGGTGAAATAAGTAGGTGGTGAGGTGGATTGAAATCTGGCTGAATATTCAGGATCAGAGGATTGTGATCAGTGGCACTAAGTCCAGGTGGAGAAATGTCACCATTGATGTACCCCAGGGGTCAATACTAGGAACAACACTGTTCAATCTTTTCATTAATGACCTAGCGAGAGTAGGCAGATGAAAAAAAATAAAGAATCACCACCAACATCATAAAAAAGGAGATGAGTGGCCAATACAAGGAGTGTGCCACCACTCCAGGGAACCTTGTCAAACTGGAGAACGGGGTAAAAGTGTATCTCATGGAGTCCAATAAAGGGAAATGCAAAGTCCTGCATCTAGAGAGGAATAACTGTAGGCATTAATACCCTGAGGACCACCTGACTTGAAATCTTAAGTTACTGATGGAAACAGAGTTGACAGCTAGCAGTGTGCTCTTAAAGCAAAGACAGCCTCCTGGACTTTTGGAAAGACTACTGCTGTCAGGTCAAGGGAGGTGATCTTGCATCCCTAGGCAGCACTAATGAGCCTGTATCTGCAGAACTGCATCCAGTTCTGGGCTACCCAGTACAAGATGGATATGGTCGTACTGTAGAGTCCAGCATAGGGCTACGAAGATGACCAAAGGACTGGAGCACCTCTCCTATGAGGAAAGGCTGAGAGAGCTTGAAGCTATTCAGCCCAGACAAGAGAGGGCTCAGAAAGTGAACCAGCAGTTAATCTGCGAGGACAATCAGGGGTTCAGTGCTTCTATTTCTTAGCAACGTGAGTGAAGTCATTTTACAGTCTTATTCCACATTCCAGAAAGGAGCGACATGAATGTCAGTGAGATAATTGCCTAGTAAGGCACATAAAGGCAGCAGTTCCAACGAGTTCAGACAACTGTGCCCACAGACGTGACATAACTTGAATTTATGCAAAGACTGCTGTTTAGAAAAGATCACGACTAAGGGGAAAACCATGCTACAGCACACAAAACATCTAAATGGCAGGTGATTGTGTCATGGTCGATTGGCCATACAGGCTAGTAAATTTGCTGAAATGCTCAGAGGTTTCTTCAGCATTTGAGCAGGTTTCCCTTGCAGAATCAGGATGCTCAGACAAAAAATAGAGGCTGTCTGAACCTTGAAACTGAGAAGCTGCCCTTTTGACACATTATTTCTGAGATTACTAGAACAGTGAGTTGGCAACAAGTTGTTTTGTGATACTGAGGATCACTTTACCCTAGAATGATCAGTGAGAAATTAGAGACTGCTGCAAACATATATCTGTTGGATTCCTCAAGATTGTACATATCATATCTGCTGGACGTGAGTGGTGTCATCTACAATGTTGCTCTTGCTGGCCCAGACCAGTTGGACCCAGAATTTCTTGGTGTCTGCTACCATCACCTTTCTTTCTACCACAAGGGTGATTTGAGGATTGTGCCATGCTAGACAAAGATACGTGTGCCACCAGGGTATGTGTATCACATATGATGATCACAGCACATTCAGATATCAAGACACATATGCAACTCAGTCTATATATAAGCTTTCCATTTTTCTCCATTCTTCCACTTGTCTTCCAGATGGGTTTCCTGCTAAAGATTATGGGGTTTCACTGTTTACCTGAGTGTTTGGCTTGTACTTCTCATCCAGCCAACGAATGTGTGGAGACCAAAATCAGACACCATAGGCTACATCTTGTCCCAGAGTAGATGCAGAAAAGGAACCAGGCTTGTTTATAAGCTTTTTGAACTTACAGTCAGAATTGCAAACTGTGTTCCACTAAGTGTTCTAACTGCGAGGGTGCAAGGAAGTAGGGAACAAATGTATAAGACAGATTTCATTATTTCCATTACTAATGGAAAAACTTGCAAACCATCCTCATTCAGGTGCAATCGATCAATTTACTTTCATGGTCCATGTTCTCAGGTTAGTGACTCTGATTTTAGTGACATACTTGTACACTGTAACATTTAAACATGGCCTATCCCTTTGACTAAATGCCCAGTTAAAGTTTTCATACGCACTAGATACCTGAATGAGCAGTGAGTTTGAAAAGTCCCAAGCTTCTTTCAATGGTCAAAGTAACAAGAGACCCATAAGCTTTTTTTAATTCTTCTTTCCCCCCCCCCCCCCCCCCCCCCAAAGATTCGAAAGTTTTCAGTGCTCTTGGAAGAAAAACAGATGTCTTAATTAAAGTAGTAGGTAATATCTGTTATCTTGCTAGTCAAGTACTGATGCTGAAGATGTTACACTGACAAACTGAAAACTTACGATGAGAAGTAGGCTCTACCTGTGTTCATCCTGCTGTTTTCAAGCAAAAAGAAAATAAGTTCTGATATTTCAAAGAGTTTGTAAAAAGGAAGATGAAGATAAAACTTACGTATATTCTTGTTTGATTTTTCTTTCCAAAATGCAGTAATAGTAAAATTAAACAATGGAAATTACTGTTAGGATGCCAAAGGAAGCTTTCCAGAAATAGACGTACAATAAATCCGGATGAAACAATAACGAAGGAGAAAATGAATTTAAGCCTCTAAAATGCTGAGAAGCATATTTATGAAGAGTCCATTGAATTGCACAGTCTGACCTTGTTGCCATCAGAGTTAATCAATGTTGCTATTATTTATTTTTTGGACTATCACAGCACAGAACAGAAAATGCTCTATGACAGCAAGCACAACTAGGCAGTTATTAGCCCGTGTTATTGTGTCTAAATCTGAGCCAAAGATAAACAAATGAGTAAGAAAATTCCATGTTGGAGCTGCTAGTGTGTAGATCTTAGTATCAAGTGTAATAACCAATCTGTAACAGGAGAAACCATGAGTATGTATATTTTTAGAGCTCTAGGAATGTTTTGAATTCAGCCTGACTGGACTACATCGAAAATGCTCTCAAAAAGCAAGTTGTTCATGTTATTTATGAACTCATAGTGTTAATGACTTAGTCAAGCAGATGAGATACTATATATAAGGGCATAACGAATGAAAATTAAGTTCGCCACTCATTTTTTCTTTTCAGCAAAATTTTCTGACTGTATGAAACAGTAAACTATGGGTTTCAAAATCACTTATGTGAGGCCAATTTTAAGGGGCAAAGAGAAAATGAAATTAAACGTGAGCTATAAAAAAATTGTAAGCATGTATGGTATATTTTTATTGTAAAGATATCAAACATCAAACCTTTGATCAGAAAACTATGTCTTACATCTGCTAACTAAACCGAAAGAAAAGGGAACAGTTAGAGATTTCATACTGCTTGGTATGAACAATAAAATCGCAATATATCCTTGTGTGAAGAGTAGATAATATTGAGCAGGGAATTCTGGAGGGTCTTTTATGCTTCTTTATACTAAAAAAAACATAATAAGATGCATTTATCTGCATCAAACAAAATAAACAAATATGAATGCATGCAAGACAGAAGAAACTGGGATAAAAGAACCTCTGGTAGTGTCCCACACAGTTGATTTTTTTATATTCCATTGTTCCCTTTATTCTCTCTTTGATGTTATTTTCACTTTTGTGTCTTTACCCTTCCATGTACCACCCAAAAGTCTGAAAGATACCAAAGAATTTGTGATATAAATACAGCCATACTCTATGAGTATGTACAATCACAGATTATATAAATGTTAGTTATTTCCTCTCTGATTCAAAGGTTTGCAGTTATGAATTAACATACTATTTTAATTATCTTGCAATCATCTTTCAGGACAAGGATTACAAGAGTATGGGCCTTTAAGATGCCAGTGACTGAATTATTTCCTTAAGACATAAAGTCTCTGTTTTATTCATCACCAAGGCACGTTGAGATTGTCACTTGAATTTGACGAATCTGAATCATGCATTCATCTGTGACTGTTTCCCTTTTGTCTTCTTTATTTGCCACAGAATTAGTGGTCAGAGTGAAGGCGTCATTTATCATTTTGAGTATTTTCATGTGAATCAGCACTGCTTAAGAAGTGGCACAATCCAGTTGCTGATTTGTCTTATTTATTCATTTATTAAGGAATAAGAAACTTCAATCATACTCACATCACGCATCCATGCAACATTCAGATATTTGGAATTAGACCTCCATGCTGTAATGTGATGGACATCTGGTGTGTGACACAGATTTACACTGTTTATTCTGGGAAATAGAAGAGAAATGAGCACAATTCAGAACGAGCTTTTATCTTTTTTTATTTCATGTAAGGAGCTTAGATGCATTAGTCCACCTGCTGTTTGCTGCAAACAGGAAGATCAGTTCCTACTGTTCCTTTTTCATTATTGTGGTTTTATTAAGGCACTGCCATTTTCAGGGTTTCTTTTTTTAATCTTCAGATAAATGCATCGTATTTGTGAACTTGTTTGTTTGGTGTAGGATAAGACCAAATCTACAATGACTGTCTTAGAAACACTATTGGCTAAAATAAATTCTGCAGAATTGTGTTGCAGCTCAGGAGTACTTAAACTATGAATGACGTTTGTCTCTCTTCTAATCTGTTCACTCACTTTTCTTATAAATTGTAGGAAAGTTTGGCAAATTTCATATTCAATTAATGTTTTTTATATCTTGCAAAAGCAGGCAAACATTTCTATTCCATCAGGTAAGTATCCCAGACAGTAGGAAATCTACACTTCACAAATCTTAATTTAAGATTCAAACTATGGGGAAAATGGTAATTCTACCTTTGCACAGAGAAAAGCATTCCCATGATATCTTGGACTATTAAAGCCTGCATGTTGCCGTGCCCATGTCACTTCTACAATTAGTATTTTAACAGAAATAAATGAAGGTTGTCTGTTAAGTGCACACACATTTTCCTACAAAATCTTTTGACAGCAAATTGTATTACATTTGAATGTAGAAATTTGTTCACTATAATTGAACATGCACCCTATAAGTGTTCTCTCTATATTTTCTCTACTCAAACATCTACTCCTATAAAATTCAGGAAAACAGAAATTTTCTTAAAAAGACTATAAAACTGCAGGAACATGACTGCCCCAGATAATACTAAAAGTTCTTGAATTTCAGTCTTCTCTGTCCTGTTAAAAACATGAGTTAGCACGTTTCAATTCCTATTTAAAAGCTAAGTATTAGTGACAGTTATCTTTTGCCTTGTTGCCTACAGGTTTAATTATTGTAGATATTCTCCTATGGTCTGATTTGCTCTACTGCACTCTATCTGTAGTCATCTGCAGCCAATACGAAACTGATGGGCATTGCTAATAAGTCAGCAAGAAAGTTCTTTGCTCATGTTTAGTCCTGTTCTTTTGAAGACTTTTCCTTTAAGAATACACTTTAGTAGGCATGGCATGTATATATATATATAATTTAATAATAACTAGAAATAGATTGTATCACAGAGGTATTTCTGCCAGTTGTCAAATTAATTGCTAATCCCCTTTCATATTGCTTGGCCACATTTCAATAACTAAACAGTTTTGAGCCAGAAAGTCATTCCAAAATGTATTTATTATTTTTTTGGCCATGTTCATGCAACTAAACTAGGAATGGATTCCATTCTGCTGCATCTCTGAGCTGAGTTTCTTTCTTCCAGGGCTCTTCCTTGTAAAGGAAACAGACTGTCACACTCTTTTTCTTACCTTCAAGTATTCTGCCACATTATGTATGTGCACACCACAACACAACCAAACAGAGGGGTTTAGTATACATGGATTGAGGTTTCTACAGATCTGAATAGCAGTTGTTTAAATCCAGTCTATTGTAAAGAAAAGAAGCATTCTTCTCTGTCAAGCATGATCTATCCTGCACCCAGAACAGAACTGGCATAATGGACTAATGATGAAAATTTTGAGGAGAAAAGTAGGGTGGGGGAAGCTAAATACATTTCCTGCTATCTGGTGACACCTCATTGAATGTATAAAATCAAAAAATAAGAAAAATTATTAGGAACTTTCTATATTCTGTAGAGGTGGGAGTTCTTTTACTTCCAGTTATCTGATAGCTACATATCAGAGCTTTCTCAGTATCTGACTTGAAGAAATCAGATGCTTTATGATGCTTTTTGTCCATTTGGATTTATATGCAGTCTCCAAGGAGCTTGGGAAGCAAAAGGGTGGCAGTAGTCATGAGAAACAGGTGAGATAAAACACAGATATCAAAGCAGAAAGATAGCATTCCTCCCTGTACAAATATCTATGAATTGATATGCATTGAAGTGAGCAAAATCATTAAAGTTGTGATGGAGGGAAGGAGAATGGGAATGGGAAGGGGAAGGGAAAAAGCAAAGGAAGGAAAAAGAGTAAAATTTTTCTTTTGGGAACTTCCTTCCTGTATAGCTTAAAAAACACTGGGGAGTGGAAGGGGAAAAAGTAGACAAATGCTCTCAGTGCATTTTTTCTTTTTTTATCTACTGATAATCCAATCTAATGGAGATGCATGTTGCAATTTACTGAGTCTCCAGTAAGAGCTCTAAAGAATCCACATGCCTTTGAGATGAAAGAAAGTTGATAAATAGCATTTCCCTTCCATTGTCAGTTTTCTGTCAGTGTGCTAACCACTCAGCATTGCCCTTCTTATGTTAGCATGTTAGACACCCAGCTATTCAGCAGCACATGGGCAGTGCCATTATGTCAAAGGAAACTAATTACTGGTTTGATAAAACTTCATTTTTCAGGTTTGGTTCACTTTGATTTTTGTTTATTTGTTTGTTGTTGTTGGTTTTTTGTTTTTTTTTTTCCTTTTATTTGTTTGTTGGTCTTTTTTTTAAGGTTTTTTGTTGTTGTTATTGGGTTTTGTTTTGGTTTGGTTTTGTTTTGTGGGTAAGGGAGCAGCGTTTGAGTACTGTCTTCCTCAGCTTGAATCACAAACTGCTTTGGATGACAGATAGACACCAATTTCCTCACAGCAGCAATATGAGCTTTTACAAGTGAATAAAACCACAAACCCAAGGAGCTTTCAGCTAGGTAGTGAGGTTTAGTGGCTGAGTGAATTTAGATGCCTACAGGATTAACAAGAGTGGCTTCTAGAAATGGAAGTCCTAAAATAAACAGGATCTGCAGATCGGATCCCACCAAATATTTTTATCCTGTGATATTGTAATTGATGCTATTAAAGCACATACAGAAGAAGACTGGCTTCATGGTCCCTTCACCTCCTGTACCTCCTTAGCAGAGAAAACTCTGAGCTTACAAAAATGACAGTGAAAAAGCCAAATGTATTTTCTGTACCTGCAGTTGACAATCAAAGCCTGGATCAATAGCAATCAATTAAAATACAGCCAGTATAACTACATACCTTTTCCTATAATCATAAACAAATGACTATTTCAAAGTCACATATTATACAATGATTCAGTTCTCCATTAGCATTATTTTGGATCTAGGCACTATCATTCACCTTATATAACACATTTTAGTACTGTTGCAATAGTTGATAATACGCAAGAGAGGGAGGGAAGGAGAAGAGGAGGGGTAGTAGACAAGCCAGGGAATGAGAGCAAGTCATTGCACAAACCTTTCTTTCAATTCAAGTATGTAAAGTGAGATAAATGGTCAAACTGCAGACATACTGTACACAGCAGGAGCCAAAAGCTGCTCCCTGGATTGGCAGCTCCAGAAGCCATCAGCACCGGATCCTTTAAGCAATTACCAGCTCGGAAATGTCCTTCCATTGATTGTGATGGACGTAAACCAGCTGTGTTTCAATAGCAAGTGAACAGAGGGAGGAAGAACCAGACGGCAGGACACAAACTGTGCCGAACACTGGGACCAGCTGCAGCCTGCAGGTCACACTTCCATGTCAACAAAAAAATGTTATTTAATATTTGCCAAACACAGCAGTAATTCATCACAAGGTATAAGTGGACCTATAACGTCTGAAATCGCCCGTTGAAGATTAACTGGATGTATCATGTTTCCAGTGCAGTGCCCGAAACAGGAAACAAAATTGTCTGGACCTTGTAGGCAAGGCACCGATTCACTCCCTGTAGTAGGAGCGTTCCCATGCTGGTCATACTCAGCCACGCGGTTCAGGAAATCCTTTGCCAGCACATTTGTATGCACAAAGGACACTGCTAAAAGAGGACAGTGCCAGCCTGTCAGAATCCAGCTAATGTGTGAGTCTGATCAAATGTATGCAGCTGCCTTCATCTTGTCTAGAGCCCGTATAACACAAAATTACTGTGAATCACCAACTGAGAGCGGAAGAGGTTGATTATTGTTTAAACACAGAGATAAGCTGGCAATGAACTGCTCATTGCTGGAGGGTGCCTCTAAAAATATCTGTTCTCCCCTGCAGACGTTCTTCAAAGGGGCACCGGGCTTCCTGCCTGCACAAAGTGGCACTTCCAGGAGAAGGAGCTGTGGACGCCAAAATGCTATGCTTGTTTTGTACCACTCCCAGTTTTTAAGCAGAACAAAGAAAAACTTTTCAAATACACAGAACAGTGTGAAGTTCTACGAGAAGGTTATACAGAAATTACTCCATAAATCCAAACAAGCAGGTGAGGAAAGAAAAAAAAAAAAAAAAAAAAAAAAAATTTTTTTTTAATATTTAATTTTATTAATTTTTAGTACATGTATGAAACTACAGCAGCATCTAAGAAAAGAAAAAAAAAAAAGTTAATTCAACCCAAAGAGCCATCCAACAGCTGTAAGGACTAGCATTTCTGTTTGCTGACCTCTGTCTGTCTGCACTGTAGTTGGACTCTGGTACTGCCAGACATGGCGTCAGGTGAAGAGCAACGCTCGGGTAGAACTGTGGAGCAAAACACTTCTGGCAGGGGCTGCAGTACTGCACTCCTCGTACTGCCTCTGCGGAGCTGTGATTTCCTACTGCAGGCATCAAGAAGCAGTAAGCTAGCATGTTATGTGCATTCCTGTAGTTATTATAACTAACCCGTAGAGTGCTTCTACAATATAATATTTCACAGGATTTCCTCAATAATTTCTTCAGGATCCACCTAGGACTGTTGTGCAAAAGCCCTAAGTATGCCTCTAGAGAACTGAGTAATTATAAGAGGTTTTGAATAACACAATTAAGTGTTTAAAATAATAAAACATATCAAGGTCACACAGTGATGAGAAACTACAAGAAACGTTCTTCTTGCCACAACACTCTTCCTGGAACTGCACAGCATTCATTACATGAGCTTTCCAGAGAAGCTTTCTGCACATCATAAAAGGCAGCACTCAAATCCCTTTTTCTTTTTCCTTTTTTTTTGGATGTATGTATGTGTGTAGCAACCCCAGAGGCTCACTGCTGCAGCTGTGTGAGACTCCACATCATGCATTTCCTTCATATATTCTTTTCATAAAAGTAATATTTTCACTTGAGCAGCTATGATTCAAATGTTACATTAAAATACATTGAGTTTCTCCAAGATGTTAAGAGCTTGAGATTAGATAAAGATATGTTTTCCACAAATAAATTCTTAATAAGGCAGTGAAATTCACAGGTCATCATTCACAAGACTTTAATTAATCTTCAAAATTAATAAATAGCACTGTTTCACATAGACAGTGCAGATCCGAAGACCCACTTCATCCATTCATTCCTATGCAATCATTCTCCAGTGCCAGAGTCAGTAGTATTTTTGCATGAAACACTGAAGATGTGACCCCACAATTATTCATAGGAACATTGATTAAATGCAGAACTTGTGCAGTGCAATACCAATTTTTCTATCAGACTTCAGCGATGGGGATTCATCGTCCTTACTGCAGATGTCTAAAACTTAGATGGACAAGTCTGAATTCAGTAGACAAGAGACAAGAGAGTCCAGAGAGATTGTGGATGCCCCATCCCTGAAGGCATTCAAGGCCAGGCTGCATGTGATTCTGGGCAGTCTGTTCTGGTGGTTGGCAAACCTGCACATAACAGGAGGGTTGAAACTAGATGATCATGATGATCCTTTTCAACCCAGGCCATTCTAAGATTCGATGAAAAGTCAATGTCTAGGCAAAAATCTCATCTGACTCCCAACAGTTTTTTCAGAATTTTTTCCTAAGTAAATTTTAAAATGATTTGCTTTCACTGAGAACAAAGTCCAGTGTGACAATTGCGAAGTCCGGTACAGCTTTGCCTCCATTTAGATCCAGCAGTACCAGTACCATTTGCTCAGATTGAAGAGGAAGAACACACCTAGTCTAGTTTACTTTTTTATTATTATTATTATTATTTTTAAGACCTCTCACTTTTCCAAGAGCAGTGCCAAGGTTTGTCAATAGACATCTATCTGAAACTGAAGACCTAATGACCAAGTAATGATGGATACACAGCCAGAAATATTTCACCTTTTGTCAACTTTCATAAGAGTTAATTTTTCCCCGCAGTAAGGTAGAGATGGAGAGGAACAGTTCCTGCTACACTGACAGTCAAAAACCACCAACACCTTTGCTGGCAAATTGTTAAATCATTGTCACATAAATGTGAAAGAAGCAAACTCTTTCCTTCTTAGAAGCTGTTGGTGTAGTACCTCTTCTCTGTACTACTCTTTACACTTACCACACACTTTCAGGGCAATGTAGCTGTCGAGCTGTGTTTAACAGAAGCCAGTTTAGACACAGCACAGGAAAATTCTGCCCCAGAAGTCAGATATGTTAGTTAATAATTGAAGGGGTGAAGAAACAAGCCTGACAAGAAACTTCCGAATGATGTCACTAGGACAAGGGTTCATCTCAGCGTGATCCCAGCAGGAGAAACCATGAGAGAAATCACCATGTAACATGCAATGGTTTGCTGCGGACAAACCTTTCAGCATGACAGGCAGGAGCAGAGCAGAGAAGAACTTTACACTGCCTGGAGGAGACATGAATTTCTGATCATTAATAAAAAAAGGATGACTGACAACTGATGAAATCAATTTCCTTTATCACAGCTGGAGGTCTCACAATTAGCAAAGCTTTGGGCAATTACAGGATTTAAATCTCTCCCTTCTAGGTTTTGTGGGTTTGCTTTGGAATTTACTTTATGTATGTATTACTCCAGAATTTTGAGGCTGAAGTGCTGAGACCAGGTGCTGAGGTCTCAGCCCTGCAAACCAGTCTGACAGACAAAATGGAGATTTTGTCACCGTGACTTCTGAGTGTGGTACGGCACCTGATGAAATTGGTAGCAGCTCTGAAAGAAATAAGAAAATCTGTCCTTGTGAAGCCTGCTTACAAGATTCCAATCTGTCATTCCTGTTCAAAGTTACTCATGTGAAATAAGTTGATCTTGCTTTGTCTTTTTTAGAAAGACAAAGGATAAACAGTCAGTGTGTAATCCTAGGTGATTTGTATCTTTCAACACTGAGATAATATTTCACATTATTTGTATTGTTTGCAATGGCGATGTTGGTGACGTGTACCCATGACATGCAAAACACCTCAGAAGCACACAATGCTGTGCACACATGTAATAGAAGACAGTCCCCTCACCCCTCAGCACCACATGAAGGAGTGAAGGAGTTTCTAGTCAAAATAATCATAGCAGACAAAAGGTGCAAAGGAATGCTACAAACACCATGCTGGAATGTCCTTGTTTGCAGTGAGCCAGCAGCTCAGAGCAGGGGAAAAGCTGATGTCACACCTGTCCGCACTCTTCTACCTGGACATATCCTCAGTCAACTCCACCAGGAATTGTTCCACAGTCTCACTCCATGGTGTTTTATTCAGAAGCAGGAAGGAACAGACTAGTTTCTTTCTTTTCAAAATATGGCCGTATTTAGGACTCGCTTCTGGTTAGTGGGAAGTGGAGGAGAGCAGGAAGGAAATCTCTGCCTCGCATTCAGTGTGCTTCTTTCATGTCATTATCTGCAAAAATAGAAACTTGGGTGAACTTAACTCACTAGGTGAGTAGTTAGAACTTTCTGGGAGGCAGAGGCTGATGTGCTTGGCACTTAGGGATGTCTCACAAAGAAACCAGGGCTGGACCCATATCCGGGTAGCATTGCCAGCCTCCAAGGCTGCATTGATTGTCTCACCTCATTGGAAGTACCTGCAGTAGGTGATACAGAGTTAAAAATACCCACGTTTTTAATACATTCACACCTCTTGGTCCCCATGAAAAAATGGAAATAAAAAACTTCCTTGTTCCATTGGGTGTTGTGTACGTCAGTACATAAAAGACTTGGAAGGCTCAGATTCCATATTAAGGGAGTCATCCTTTGGTCCTACAAGGACTCTTTCAGCAAGAAGTGCCCATTACTAATTTTAAGGGAAGCATTTTTCAAAGCTGCAAAATGTGCATCTGAACACACTTTAATGGAAAACTCAGCATACAGTATCCTTTAAAGAGGCCAGATCCTTCTCTGCACTGGGGCTTTAAAACTTTCTCAAGAAACAACAACCTGCCCTTCCACCTCCCACCCCCGACTCTTACCCAGAATCTCCATCATGTGCCTCTCTGAAGTGTTGTGTTATGATTACCATAGCAACAACAGTCCAACAGCTGCCATGACATTTCATCTTCTGCTGCTTTTAAAATGCTTTCTTTTTGCCAAGAAAAACTTTTCTCAATTATTTAATTTTTTTTTTTTTTCTTTTTTTTTCACTACACACTGTTCACTCTCACAGAATAAACAGTTTGGAAAAAGAAAAAAATAAGAAACAGCGGAAACTGCATCAGTTCTAACCACATATTTTGCTAATTTTTTTATGCTTCTCTCGTGCCATCTTCAAGGTTTACGAGGCTGTGCATTAAAAAGCTTACACTTGGTTTTGCAGATAAACTGATGATTGTGCACCACTGAGCAAAGCCTCCATGGATGGCTGGGAGCCACCTCCATGTGTATGGGCAGCTGCACAGTCCCATCCAGTCCCTTAAACCAAAGGATGGCGGCTGATTACTCACAGCCATTTATAGCCATTGAGGTCTAACCATCCTGTTTAGTTGTCTTCCCATTTTGCTACTCATTCTCCTACTACCAATGCTGTTGGCTCTCAGCTTTATTTTATGCAGTTTTCAAGGAAGTTTTCCTACTATTTCTACTTCTGTGTTCTTCAAAGGGATCTGGGGATAGGACAGCAGGGAATATAGGTAAACACACCTTTTCACTCCTACCCTGGATGGTGGAAGGCCGTGCATGGTGAAGCCAGAAACGGTGCAGCAATGAAGGGCCACAGTCCCCAACTTGTGAAACAGCCAGGACAGCCCAGCACCTTAGCTACATTCCATCTACAGACATGGATAAGAAAGCACCATGCAGATTTTAAGTATATGCAGATGAACTCTGCTAACTGAAAATTCATGTTGCTGCCACTCATTTCACAACTAAAAAAAAACCAAAAAAAACCTAAAAAAACAAACTATCCCACAACAAAAAAGAAATTCCCAGCATTTATTTATTTATTTATTTCCAGGGATAGCCAACCCTTTCTTTTCCAAAAGGAGAGAAAGGCACGGTTTTCCCTCACTGTGGAAGCTGCCTCTCAGATTGCTCCCTACAAAGGTCCCTTCCCTCTCCA